GAGAAATAAAGCGACCTGGCGTCGTATCGCATCGCGACGCTGTTCCCTCTTCCATCTTCGCTGTACGCTTCAAAAGGCAAAGGTTTTAGTCTGGAAATATCATTTACGTCCTCCACGATGACGTCTTCTAAACAGACTTTTCATTTACAAGAACACAGAAATTCTATTATGTATATTCGGCGAGACGTCTCAACGAGAGTCTGGCATAAGTATCTAATTCAATTCATAGGAATCTAATTTAGAGCATGGTTTCGATATTCTTCGTACGTTAAATGCACGTTACTAGAATTAAAAGACTCCATATAGATAAACGTTTAGGGAGCTGAAATACTATATAAAGACGTGCTGCTATATGCCACGTGTGCATTTACCACAATTTTATTAATAGCATTGAGGCGGAACGTGAATATCGACGCGACTTGGGATTCCGAATCCTACAGACTGTTTTCGTTCCATAGTCTCAATCATCAAAGAGTGGAAACTGGAGCGAAAAGATTCATTGAAGAGTATAGCACCGATATTTTTTCCTATTGTATTTTTATATGTTTAAAATGTGTTCATTTTTAACATAGAAAATAATAAATACCTAATTTACTGTTGAAAACTTTGGTTTCAAAATTATTATCTTACTACGTTCTACGCGTTGCGTACTAAAATTTCTCATCAATGCATAGAAAATGGCATTCTGTTTATGGCTGCCATGCACAAGGATTAGAAAAATGCATCGTTTCTTCTCAAGATTAGAAGTAGCGCGGAACGCGGGAGTTAAAATGAGAAACGACACTCGGCGAAATCCTTGTCATAAATCGAGATCATTCGAAATGCTGATATATGTATCGTTTCTTCGACGCGTTACAACTTCTTCGCGTTTCCGTTCACGACATCTGCAGTACAGGCCAACAGGATTAACGAGAAACGGAAATCCGGTTGGTATAAGGAAATACCTCCGCGGTATTTTCCCCGTGTTTCCGTTGCTCGTTTCTCTCGAGTGTCCAATCGCTTTGTAATCCGGTAATTGATTATCCCTGGCTTGGCTCGATTGTAGGATTCCTCGAAAAGTTCAGCCACTTCAGGATGGGCCAACCTGATCAAGATGGATATCGCTCAAGTGTACTCTTTCGAATATTCGCTAGCCAGCACCAATCTTTTCTTGTGCGCCCCAACTTAGACATTGCTGCCCAGAAAAGATCGCCCTGCCAAGTTACAAGCCTTCATCTCATACAAATCACATTTAGATTCTTCCGTATCGTCGTTAAGCGAGCATATAGCAATATTCACAATATAACTATTCGCAACTGTACAATTAATTGAGAATTTTGGAAATAGGTATCCAAGCACGCAGTGTATTGTAATTAGACTACAAGTATTACGCATTTACAGAAAACTTGTGCATGCAAAAGATATAAAGAATGTTTGCCATATAAAAAGAAGTGAATGCGCATTTCAATATTTAAATCAAAAAAATGTTTACCTACAAAAGAATATTTTCAACTGATACCATAAACGTTTTATTTTGTATTAAGATCTGCAGTCTAATTACAATCTATTAATTCCTTTTCCAGTAATTCCTATTACTTCTCTACATAACAGTTGATTTTATAGTCCGGCAGCGTATGAAGCGATTCGTTGAGATAAAAAGCTACTGATTACAAAACGTAAGCCCTTTTACGTGCACTCGATTCGACGGAAAAAATTTAGATCCCAGCAATATAAATATCAATCCTTACGTCTCCTGCGTGGAGAACCAATACATTCTGTCGGTACTCGTGAAACGAAACTGGAAAGAGAGAGAGAAAAAACGCGGAAGAATCATATGTATGGGTGCAGGAACGTAACGGAATAAAAAAGCGTTGCGATAGCTCGTAGATATTGGAATCGAATCCTTCTGACTGTGTTCCTTACTGAAGATCGATTACGAATAGATAAAAAAAGAGAATCATGATCGACGTGACGGCTACGTATCATAAAACTCATCCACGCTATAGTGATGGGAACGAGACGGCTTCGAGATATTCTTGATTCTTGGCGCTTTTCAATACCTTCTGTTCATGATACGCTATTTGTGTACACATGTACACCCAACTCATTGTATTTTGGCCATCATAGGTATACATAACTCGCCGTAGATCGCTAACGGCGATGCATACTTATATTGTACTCGTAAATGTACAAACTATCAACACAACATAAAATTTCAACTAAAGACTACAAATTTTAGCTGTCTGATAATTTTAACATACACATACGATTTTTCATATATTCATTCGTACGAAATACGATCAAGAAAACAAAAACGCTATTTCTCTGTAGAGAAACATATTACAGCAAATAAAGATACTCGATACACGGCAGCTTAGAATTAAAGTTGGAGTTGGAGCCTTCTCACATCATCTGGATTTCGTCGTCCAGCTAAAAACACATATACGTGCCGATCGGAATAATGCTAATTTTTTACGACATAAGATTGGTCAAATATACAATCTACAGTTATATCAACTCAAACAATCGTAACAGAAGAAAGTGCCGCGAAAAACGAGCATTATGTACACTCGTCGGCATACAGCCGACATGTATTTCTAACTGGATGTTGAAAATCGGACGAAATTTGGATAATGTGAGAAGATTCTTACAGGAATGAATTTTCAGAGGGAAGGAAGATCGCGAACGTTAGAAATCTAATATTTCTACTGTCCGCTGTTCTGTTGTTATGAAATTTTCGTGCTCACACAAATCATAAGGACGCGTGCACGTAAACCGCACGTGTTCGTAGCGCTCAGTTGCGGTGCGGTTACAACGTGATCCTGCGGCCTCTCTTAAACGCGTCGCGATATTGCCATAAGTCGCTGAATATTGCGTTCCTAGGGCTACGTGCACACGCGTGACTGAGTAAACGCGTTCCCCCTTAGTTTTCAATGAATGCGTGTCCCTTCTCACGTGACTACTAAAATATTGCCTCGGGTTCACAATTTTTAGAACCGGGCAAGGAGCGGAAAATGATTCTGGGGGATAATACGCATCAGGTCCTGTAACCATTTATAAACTGAATGTTAAAACATGTGTTACATAAGTACACAATAAAAGATATTCTATTCTTGAATAATCTTTCGTAACTAGCAAACAAGAGTTGACCGTAGTAAAAGATCAGATGGAAGGAAAAATGAATACAAATCAAACCAATTTCGTTCTTTACGGAAAAAAGAAAACATTAAACCCGTCGAACACCGCAAGCGAGGAAATAGCCTGAAACTTTATGAGCATCGTCGGACCCAGGGGTAGGCAAATCTGAAGCGTTATTGAATTAAACTTGAAACGGAAGTGGGTCTTCGATCAGCTCGAGGGATCGCGAGAAAAAAGCGAATAAAAGACGAGGACTAGGGGATGGATGACGTCTTATTCCGTGGAGTTTTACAAAGTGTGGCTTACGTTAACGATTCGCTCGTTAAAAGCAAACGGATTTATCGTTGCCCGATAAAATTGCCCGGAGATGAAGCGAGACCGTAAACTAAAAATATAAAACACTAGGGGCGAGAAGGAGAGGGTGCGAAGGGTGGGATGAAGTACTTTGGAGGAGGTCAAGGTGAATAATTTAATTGTCGACACAAATGAGATTACGCCTCGTTCTATTTGCTGAAATTAATTAATTTAAAATATTTGCAAAATTAATTAATTTTCTTATGACATGATCGTGTAAAATTAAAAAGTACAAGAATTGGCGAAGCTATCTACACGTAATTTATATTTATCATAGATAACATAAATATAGAACGATGATTGAACTGTGAAAAGAAAGAGAGCTAAGATGAAATAGACCAGTCGTCGAAGTGAAATAGTTATTATTAATTATCGCCTCGAGTCGTTGGATTATTCTTCTGCTTATTCTTGATCTTCTATTTTCTTAAATTAACGAAACGTACCCGTCGGAATAAAAGACAGATGTAATCACAAACTCCAAAATAAGAATCATGGTCAGAATTAAAATCGAAACCATAATCATAATAAAGAATTCGAAATTTGCTACCCCTTACTTTATGGATATCCGTGAATGATTATTCGAGTGATTTTAAAGGAGGTGACGACTGACTCATTTAGTCAAGGATCGTAAAATAAAAATGCCAAGGTTCGCTTTCATTCATTTATTACTCAGAATTTAGCCGACATACATTAAGGATGTATTTATAGTCAATACCAAAAATTTATGTAT